TTAATTTCTAATAATTAAATCATGTGTAGCTCTCTCATTAACTTTAATCATAAGTGTAGCTCTCTCATACTGCAATAAGCTTTAAATAGCATTCTGCAAAAAAGGTCCACACAATTTAATTATATTCCTCCATAATCCATTTTCATTTATTGTAGGATGTGACAGTGAATTAATTCATTATAAGATAAATACTAAAATGGAACAGCTATAGTTGGATTTGCTTATTTTCAGCCTGTGTTCTCCATTAATAGTATAATTAATAGTATAACAGCTTTGCTGGGTTAGCTAGTCCAGGAATCTATACTCAGATGCCAACTGGAAACCCATAAATTAGACATGAGTATAATACCATCATCCTGGTCATGCTCCCCATCAGCTCCTATTCAGCAGTATTCTACCTCTAACAGTGCAGTTATGAATGCACAGCCATCATAACTACCAATTACTGAATGCCTTAGTCTCTGCATATTTATCTCCTTTTAAATATAGCAAAGAGGATGGCATCAGCAAATTCTGTAGTAGCAAATTCCAGAGCACACTGTGAAGTAATCTAATTTTATTTGTCCTGAAATTCCCACTCTTCTTTTTCATTCAATCAGTGGTTCTCAGATTTTTACATCTTATGACCCACCAATAATTCTGTCAGAGGGTGTAGATCCCATCATAATAGAAAGACTACTTCTTAAAAATATATTTGCAGTCATTCTTTATAATATTTATCATTCCCAGTAAGTTTTATGGTTTCACTCTACACTCTACCTAACTAGTCCTGTGTATCAACAGTTGAAAATCATTGCAGTAGATGATTCCATATTCTGGAATTATAGCAATGCTTTCCTCTGCAAGAATAATTTTATATAATTCCATCATGCCTTCCCTCAGTCACCTGTTTTTGAAGCTATACCGTACCCTTTTCTCGTAAGAAAACTGCTCCCAGTGCTTTGATCAGGCAAATGCCTTTTCTGTACCTTTTTCTGTTATACAGTATCACACTGCAAAGACCAGAAGTATATATAATACAAAGATTAGGCTAGCGCCAGCTTTAAAGCTTTACTAGTTATCCCAACATGGGATCTGTATCTTCTTTTTCTTTTATAGCAGTCACACACTGAATTCATATCACCATAACCTCAAAACTTTCGCATTGAGTTCCCACTACCTCAATCACAATCAGCAAATATGTGAAGTTAGGAATTTTGCCTAACATGAATCATTCTATATTTATCTGTACTAAACTGCAGTTGCTATTTTAATATTCATTTCTGCCACCCCTCTCAGGTTTTGAATTATATACTGTCCTTTTCAAATTATTAAAGCATTCCATTTAATGCCCCATAGAAAGCATTCTTCCCCTTTATTCAAGCCATCCCTCCATGAATATTTCAAAGAATTTAATTTATATGAGATTTTTTTCTCTATTTCTCAATATTTAAACATTTTGAACATCTCTTAATATGTTCCAGCATAGAAGTACGCTAATGTTATTAAAATAAATTAGGACTATTAATCTTGTTGCAGTGTGAGAGAGAAACTTATTAACATGACTGTAAAAGATACTAAGGATTGGTAGTTGTACTTTTTAATATATATACACAGTACTTCTGGAAATACATAATCTACAACAGTGAAAAGAAGCTCATTTTATAGCAAAGAAAGTCTGTATAACAATTAAAAAAATTAAACAGAATACTATATTTTAAGTGTTTTTATTACAATAGTAATATATCAATTTATACAGTACTAAGAAACTATCATGACAGAATACTGCACCTTTCCAAAATTTGATTCAAACCCCAACCACTGTTAAAATCACTACCCATCTCCTGAGATTCTTGGCACCCAAGACAGTGCAACAAGTTTTAATACCATATCTGGGTAATCTTTCACACCCATTGATTGTAAGTGCAGCAACTCCTAAAGAAGAGAGAGAGTATTTTCTGCTACATTATATGCCATAACGGAAACATATCCAAAAAGCAGTTCTTGAGGAAAATGACATATGCAATTTTTACTGAAAGTTGTGGTTTCATACAAAAACAGGCAACTGTTTTAGTTAACAACCCCAAATCCTGAAAATTCTTCAAAGCAAATTATTCAAGTAGGAACCAAGAAATATTTCAAGGCATTTTGCTAAGTATATTAATAATCTACTTTTCAGAACTTATTAGCCAGACTATAACAACCTGACCAGAAAAACACTTGGGTGGACTCCTTAAAGGGAATATGATCACCCAAGGACCTGCAATATACCTTCTGATCTTCCAGTGTTTTAGAAATAGTTCATCTACCTTATATTTTTTCTCTGGAAGCTGTATGTAGGAGAGACAGAAGGAGCCAGAGGTGGGAGGTGAAGCTCATAAAAGGACTAACAGTTGTCAACTATTTGAAATAAAATATATTTCAAATGTCCAGATAATGGCATTGACATGTATGCAATTAGTTCTACAACATACTGCTGAACTGATAAATATATGAATACCTATACCACAAAAAGAGGCAAGCAACATCTTATCAATTAAAATACTTTACCTAGAAATGCATCCACTAAGCAACTGATCCCACGCATAGCACGAAAGAATATTTGAGGCAGATGTTTAAGGCAGGGATACTGATTCAATTCCTGAGCCATTCCACTCACATTTAGAAACTGTTCCTGAAATTTGGGGGTAGAGCTTATTACCGCTGGATTACTCAAATCCACAGGATTGCTACAAAGAAAAATGATATTATTTAATCAGAACAAAATGACCAGATGGAGGAAAAAAACCCCTCAAACCTATAATACACTAAATACTTTTTCTTTAAAAATTTTCCTTTAAAGAAATTAAAAGACTGTTTAATTTCTTGAAAGTTTGGAATGCAAATCATTCTATAATTTTTAATATTAATGGATAAATTTATTTACCGTAAAGCTTACTATCTATGAAGTTAAAGTGCTGCATGAAGAACTGATTTCTATTTTTTTTAAATTATGCCCTGAAGGTGAAATGTTTAAAAATTGATAGACCCAAGAGTAATAGACAACCCATCCAATACCTAGCTAATAAAGACGGCAAAGTGTTTGGGGGCTTAGGTTTAAATTATTGTTAATTATGATCACCTAGGGGCCCATGACATTTGTATGCTGATGTGAATGCAACAGTATTGTAAGAGAATGTTACAGCTGTGGATGTAGGGAGGCACTAAAATCATAAAGGCAGTGGAGGAATTATTAGAATGTTTAGTGCATAGAGCTATATGAAAGGAACACAATTAGCAAAAAACTGAAAAGATATGAAGAATTTCAGAAAAACTATTTTTTAAAGTAGCCAGAAAAAATGTTTTGAGTCAGAACTCTACAAAAGCTGTTCTGAGGACAACTCCAAAATACCACATGCTTCAATGAAGTCAGATGTTTCAACAGGTTAATTTATTTCTAGAATGAAAGGTATTCAGTCACTGGATAAAGAAGATTGGCTTTTTATTTTATTTTTATTTTATTATTGAGTTTGAATATCTGCATCCTGACCTATTAAAGAGCCACTTCATAGCAAGGCCAACATCTTATTTCAGTAAGTCTTGATCCAAGAAGACTCATATATAACAGAACTGAGTAAACTTGCTAATAACATTATATGATTTTTCTTGTGTATACCTCAGCATATGTAAAAAGCGAAACCAGGTCTGGGCAACACATTCATTATCCATTTCAGGAGGTATCAAATTTGCATCTTCATCAGGAATTTTAAAAGGTGGAAATGAAGGTCCATATGTAAAACGCAACAATCTAGGGGGAAAAAAAGTAGTTTTTAAAACAGTTTTTGGAATTCTGATTTCACTCTGCCTACAATAATTAGTATCCATATTTCATTGGAGGCATTTGCTGAACAAAAACTTTACAAATATCATACAAAGATCCAAACTCTAATCAACCTAATTATACTTTTCCTACTTATACATTTCAGGGAGTACTTCTTTTAAACCAAGCTAAATTGCAGTAATAAGTCTTGATGTGTACTCTAATAAAGAGGAAATTTAAACAAGGAATTAGCTGGTTATATAGCAACATGAAACATCCTTGCTCAAATGGTAATATTCATACAGCAGAGGTCTGTATTACTCTTAATACTGCATTGATTATGAAAAGGAAGAGTTTACAAAAATAATTATATGTAGCCTCCATACACACACACACAAACTCCTTAAGATGCATTCATGTTTTTTTGCAAAGATCTTGTGATGTAGTGGCCCACCAAAGCAGAAAAATATACCTAGCACCCATTCAGAATCCTAGCAAAAGATTTTCCTTTCACAATAATAATAGTAAAAATGACATAATACATAATTATCTTGCATGACTCTCCCTGACCTGACAATTTTCTATTTCAAAGAAAAAAAATTAACATACAAAAAACAAAACAAAAAACAAGTGATCAGGAGCACTCTGATCTGCATTCTGATATGTGACCACCCAGAACCCAGTTCTAAACTAAAGAGAAACTAAATTTAAGAACAAATTCAGAAGTTCACACATAGTAAATGTGATAAGTCAGGTGCAGTAACAGCTAATTTGAATAGAAAGAGCAATGCCCAAGGAAATCTCCTGAACCATTAATATCAACTGCATCATTTAGCAATGTCAAACTGAATAAGGAAAAAAGAGATAGCCTACCTAGCAGTAAGTGCACAGATAACTTTACTCCACTGTTCTACCACTGCAGAATGATGCCTCCAATTTGCTACCATCTCTTTGGCAGTTTTCCAATAAGGTGGTGTGGGAAAACACCGAGAACAGGCTAGCAACCAGACTTCAAACAACACACCAATCAGTTTTTCAGCCAGATTCTCAGCAATACCACCTAAAACAGGAACAAAGCAAAGGACATTTTAAAAATCTTTCTTGCAAGGAATCCTCTATTATTTTCATAATATCAATTAATTATGATCTATCTAGGTACTAATTCTTCTCACTGCTCATTGCACAGTGACATAGTTTTATGATCATGTACCAGAATAGTCAGCTTTGTTCAGAACTATATGCAAACTTCATATTCCTATTAAATAGTTGGAACTTTATATTCCCCCAAACCATTCTAAATATATGGAAATAAACACATTGAAACTTTTAGAACAGGTTGATTTGGATGTTAATAGACGTATTAAAATTCTATTAAGCCTGAAGGGTATAATTAATGCTATTAAAATGAATATTCTCCCTCTTCTAAATTATGCCTTGAGAGGTATCCCAATGTTAATCCCAGATAAATATTTTCTTCAGAACAATAAGTTATTCAGAAAATAGATCTCCAAGAATTTCGTTAGCTAAACTAAGATTACCATTTGTTGATGATGGTTTTAATTTACTGGATTTGCAAAAATATAATTGGGCTTATATTTTATCAACCATAAATATGTACAATGAAAAATACTCCAATGTATATAGAGTAAAAGCATGGGCCTTGTTGGAAAGTTACTATTTATCTCCATTAAGGTTAAGGCAAGTTCTTGGAATAACATGTAGTAGAAAGAGTGTTTTATTTCCAGGACTGTGTGCCATGAGAAACCTTTGAGCTCTAATGGGGTGTAAACCAGATTTTGGTCTGAGGCTCACAAATGTTTAACTCTTTAGAAGAATTCTACTTTAAAAATAGGTGGTAGTATGTTTTATCGGAAAGTATGAGTAGAGCTGGGATAGTTACATTAAATCAATTTTTATGTAATGGTTATATCAAGGATTTTTCTCAGCTTCAGACTAAATTTCATCTTCCTAGTTCACAACAGTAGCAGTATTTTCAACGTAAGCATGCTCTGACAGCTCAACATGGGCCAGACACCGTGGCCACTTCAAAGGTACCTGAGATGCTTTATCTGATGGAATCTATCTCTTACCAAAAGTTAAAGAACATTTTTAAAGTGGATACCACTGGGATATATCAACTATGGACTAAATATTTGGAATATACAATAGGTCCATCTCAACGGTCGCAAGTCCTTAAAAACATTAAATTAGTATCAACGAATTGGAGATAAAAATTGATTCATCTAAAAAAATGTATTTTCAGCTTACTGAATAGAGAAAACATGTCTAATATTTCAGTATCATTTTATGATTATGATGCTTTAAAGTATTAAACAATAGGAAAAAACAGGATAATGTTCTTAATTAAACAATTTCTAGCTAAAAACTTATTTGGAAGTAGTAAATGGGAAAAGCTAAGTGTCTAACCTTGTACTGTTGGAGGTGCCAGCAGAGTATCATTAATCTGTAGTAGAAACAATAATAAAACTTCCCATGTTTCTCTAGCCATAATGGTTGATTCATGAGCCAATTTCTGGACAGCTTTCAAAACTTGCAAACACAATTTAATCTGACTGGAACCTTGATCCTGCCTATAAAGAAGAAAACATACCTTAACAATGCAAACTGCAAAAAGTATCTGCAAAGACTGAGGCTGGGAATCAAAAGGGGGTATTTCAAAACATCACTAATGAAGAGCAAATGGATATTACAATTACTAGACTTATCTGGAAAAAGGGCACTTAGCCTTTCAGTTTTGCATTTGGGGAAAAATAGATCCACACAACTCACAAAAACTCTTACTTAATGAATTAGCTCTTAAATGAGAGTGGGAGTTCTACTTATTGCCTTTCCAAGATTCTTTATTCTAATACCTTATTTCCTGACATTAAACCTGATTAATGAAACTCCATATGAATATTGTTCCCTAGTTGTAGTATACTCTTAAGGGCCTGGCAGCAGCATTAAGAGAGGTTAGTAAAAGATTTTCAAAGCATCTAAAGTCAGCAGTCAATAGAATAATCTGCAGTCTGTGACCCACCTAGTTGAATTCAAAATACCTATCAGTACTTCTAAAAATATACCACTTTCTGAGACCTTGGTTACGGAAGAAGAGTTTGAAACATGTAGGTCATTACATTTTTAGGTTAAGTATTTTATATTAACTCTGGGCAGTTTGTTGCAGACAGAGATCTGTAACATAGGCCTCTTTAAGATGGTTAAAAATTTGCAAACAGTATTTTAAAGAATAAAATTTTCACTAACTCAAAAACATAAATACATATTAAAATACTTTTCTAAAACAAGAAATACCAAGAATTTTCTACAATTAATAAATAACATGGTTAATCTAAAAACAATTATTAGCTATGTATTGTTGAAGGCTTTCACGG